AGAAAAAAAAAAAAAAAAAAGAAAGAAACGCCAGATGCGCCAGGTCCCGACTCATCTCCGAGCCCCTCCTCCATGCGAAATCTATCGTCGGTTCGTCACTTGATCGGGGGTGGGATTCATGAACTCATGTCATGGATGGAAATCAAATTTCCCCTCGCACAGCTTTTTGGAGATTTTAAAAAAAGGTGATACGAAAAGAGGAAAGAAGTGAAACATTTTGAATCGACGCGAAAAGAAAGTCAAGAATAAAGTGCTTCCGCAGTAAGCGCTTATGCGGGTAACTCGAAGCCACGGCGGATGACACGACCGAACTGCTCGATGCCGACGTGCTCGCTCTTGACCTCGGAGCGGGCCTCGTTCTCCTTGTTGGTAGGCACGCGGATGATGGCGCCATCAACCTTCCAGCCGCAGACATCGACGACGAACTTGTTGAGCGCGTCACGGCTGCGGACGTCGAGCCAGGACTCGAGGTTCTCGGCGGTGATGGAGCGGAAGGTGTTGCCGACCTCGACGGCGATGCGGATGCGGACGAGTTCCTCAAAACCGGCCACGTCGGCTGTCAAGTCTGCGTACAGGTCATCCGAGTTGAGGGTGGACCAGAACTGGGCATACTGGGCGGACTCGAGGAGGGTGGACAGGCGGGTGAGCTTCTGGACGGACTCGACGAAGTCGGAGGTCTGCGAGGCGGATTGGGCTTCGCTGGTGGTGGGGAAGGGCTGGGTGCTTGTTGGGAGCAGGGCGAGGCAGAGCGAGAAGGCGGGCGAGGGGAACACGGTCAGGGCCTTGGCCAGGATGTTGGTCACGGTGTCGGGTTGGATGAGGTGGGGGTTGAACTGGAAGCTGGATTTTTGGAGGTTGTTGTCAGCTTCGATTCGAATTTCATGACGATTTGAAGTTCTTGTAAAAAACATGCCATGCTATTGGTTTCAACCAATGCATGGGTTCTTCCCGTTCAGTATCTTCAGAATTTCTCAACACTCCCAAGTATATTATGGGGACGTCAGGTAATAGGAAACGCTTAAAAGATACTCATCATAGTAGAGCTTAAATATGGCTTTTCGCAATGGAATTCTTCCATAAGAGACAGAGTTCGAACTCACAGCTTCAGCAGGGCCAAGTTGGCGTAGCAGTCAAATGTTCGGTCCTCGCACTGCAGGGCCACATAGTCCTGGAAGACGGTGGTGGTCTCGGGGTTGTACCGGTCGAGACCATTGAGGATGGCCTCAATATGGGCCGGCCGGGTCTCACACTTGTCGAAGGCGACCATTTTGATATTGCTGGAGGAAGGTGGGAGGTGATGCGGGTCTTTTGTATCTGCGGTCCTTTTTTGGTGGGATTTTCCAAGGTTTGATTTGTGGCCGTGGCCGGATTAACTTGAAAGGATATGTTTACCCGGAATTCTTCCGGACTATATACACATGTGCATCCATACAATAAAACTTCAGTCTCCGAAAACGGAGCCAACGGCCACGGATTGATTCGTGTTCAAATAATACATAGAATACATGCCTCTTGAATTCCTCGTGCGATCGTGACAATCTCAATCATAACCTACACCAATCCCAAGAATGGAGACCCGCTAAACAGACGTGCTTGGATCATTGAACTCCGTGAGATCGAACGAGGCGCCCAAGAGAAGAAAGGGCATATCACCTCAAGAAAAGAAACCGAAACCAAGGCTGGTAAAACAAGAAACTCCGTTCCGTGTTTGTCAGACGCCATAGTCTATGCCCATGCCATAGCGCAATAAAACAAAAAAAAAAAGGCCGAATCCGTATGCAGAATGAGCAATGCAGAGATCGGTCGAAACAGCTTGCCAACCCGCATAAAAGCACAAGAAGAAGCGCAAAAATAGAAGAAAAACAGAAGCTCAAGGTTGAAGGTGCCTGGAAAACAAAAAGAACAAAGCAGGCGGGTATCTCAATAAGAGGTTCATGCAAATGATGAAAAGAATATTTCAAGCCATGACGGGGCGGCGAGGTGTAATTGGAATCGCCTTTGGTCCCGCGGAGATTTCAAGGTTCGAGATGTCAATGTCGTCGCCCTCATACTTCTGGTCGCCCTCTGGTTGTCTGGCCTTGGAGACGAGGACTGGCTGAGAAGGACTGCCGCCTTCTTCGTCGCCCACAGTGCTGCAGACAAAGCGTTCCTCATTGAGAGGGATTCCGCCAAACATTGAGCCGAGCTGGTGTAGAAGTGCGACGAAATGAGCATGTAATTCGGTAAAGATGTATTCATTGCCGACGATTTCTGCTAAATTACGGGCACGAATCTGGCCGGCCGCACGGCGGCCCGCCGGGTCCATACCCCGGCCGGTGAGGAAAGATGAGACCGGAGGGTATTGACGGCCGGGCTGTCTTCCCGGGTTGTTCTGCTCATCGCGGGTCTTCTCATCTTCCTGGAAGCGTTCAGCAGCGTGGACAATGCTGGTTGCGATGCGGCCGAATGCACGCCAGATAATGGGACATGCGCGGAATGCTCTTCCGGCATCTCGCCCTGCCAGTGCGACCAGTGCATAACTGCGTCGCTTGCCGCGGGCCATGGGGTCTGGGAGGCGGAAAATGTAGGCAATGGTGTAACCAGCGACTCCGTCTCCAAAGCAGATGGGGCCGGACGAAAGTCCCCGGGGCAAGAGCTCACAGCTTAGGGTGCGAATAGAAGAGCGTCGGAGAAGTGCATAGTCAGCGGGGTTAGGCGGCCCGCGCTGGGAGAGATAGGTGTGAATGTGTGTGTGACATGAAGAATCGGAGGCAACTGAGGCAGAGTGGAGTGAATCGGGAGGAGACGCATGAGTGTGATAGTCGGTCTCATCATCAAACTCCGTATGGTTGTTGCCGCATGAGTAAACTAGCTCGCGAGAGCGGAGAACCGGGCTAGTAGAATTGCCTTTCGCGTCGCGACTTCCAGGCGCACCCGGAGGTAGCTGTTTGCTCACATTTTCTGGTAGAGACAAGCTACAACTGGCGCAAGTGTCGCC